TTGAGGATCGAATCAGATGAGTAATAACAACAAATCTACGAAAAGTAGCCGTTCTCGTCGATACGCATATTAAGTTCGAACGTTTCCCGCCATGTAGAGAATGTCCTGTGACAATATCTTTGACAAGTCTATGTTCTTCACTGTTCTCTAGAACCTGTTGTTCTGAAACCTCTCGTCTAGAACCTGTTGGCGAACCACTTTGTGTTCAAAATTGTAGTCTCAGTCGGCGAGGAGGCAATATCTAGCGAAGCCCACCTGTATGTACTAATGTTCTAATGCTACGGCGTGAAATAATAAATTTTCTTTCATCGAGGTCCCTTAAATATATGGAAGCAACATAGTATCATAGGGATAATGCATTTTCGCAGAACAGACATCGAATGCTTATCGTATATTACGGCTTTTCTGCAACCCGTTCTACTCATAGAAACATGTCTCATTTAAACAGGACAGGTTTTAAATGTGTGCGAAGATCGTTTGGTGCCTCACTATTCATTTTTTTATGTTCACGGAAAGCTTTAAGGGTTTATGCAATGGTTAAAGATAAGAATTTGCTAAGAATCACCATGACTACAAACTTAGACGAAAGTATTGACAGAAGGGGGGAGGGAGATGTGTGTACGTATGTAGAGGGGGTGGAAATTAGTTTGCAGGAGTGAGTATATTAATCCCTTTCGAAAACATGGTTAAGGTTTTCATCCGTATCGTCTGCCCTCTGAAAAGTTGACTACACATGGGTAGAATGATTGACAATTTGGAAAATGTTTGATGGATAAAATCAGAGAATGAAATGCAACGTAGCAGTCCTCATTTCGCTTGATTTGTCAAGATAGCGAGAATCTGATGAAACAGTGTTGTTTTAACTTTGCTATTGATGCAATTTGTTTAACTTAACAACGATATTTGTAGTTTTGTCTTAGCGTATCTCAAAGTTCAGAAAATGTTTCCAGAGCTTTACTGATGTCCAGGTATTAAGCTCGTGTTTCAGAAGCTTTTTGTCTATATTGCCGGTGTAACACGTGATTTCGATCTTATCAGAGAATATTTTTCTTAACGACATAATAAATACTAACGGGAGACCGTGATCAGCCTGAAACCCCATGATGATGACAATGCTGCATTTTAGTCTGGATTTTAAAAGTCGAATTTCACATATTATCTGGTTTATCGTGTCGAGAGATGTGAGTAACTCATTGTGACATAGAGCACCGTATCAAACCTGCTCACTTCGTACTTTCTCGTTCCAGAGTTAGCAAATTCGCATGTGAAGCAATTTAATCCAATTTTCTGCAATAGGCCATTCTAAGGCTGTAGATTAACTCTGTGACATCATCGAGCTTTCTTCTCTAGAGAAAAATTAAAAAACTATCAAATTTGCTTTATTATTCAAAAGCTACGATCCCTAGCGGTGACCTGTGTTATGTATGCTTGTTTTATTAGAACAAATGCAGGTTCCTTTCCGCGCGTGCAGCTGAAGTGCCATTCGTACGCAGTCACTCTGAAGAATTTGACAATGAGACGGAGAAGGACGGTGGAGCGTTCGGTGAAAACTGGTCTGGCGCCAACTCTGACTCCGCAGAGCCGTCAACCAGCGCAGACTCGTTGGCGTCTACCAGCACGAGTCTTGCCCGATCGCGAAGCATGACTATGCAGGTATTTGAACCATTGATGTTCCTCATTTTCAGTTTTTTTCAACTTCACCGTTTGTCCGTTAGGACGAATTGCCAAGAAGTTCACGTAGGGCTGGCGAATCGAATCGAAGAACAAAAAGGTATGAGTGTTTGTTTTGTTCGCCAATTATGGTCATGTTTATTTGTAGTTATTATTTTGTTCAAGGTGTTTGAATCGTTGTTTCCGCTGCCGTCACTTAGGCTATTAGTTAAAAAATCGGGCATTGATTTGAATTTATTTACCTTTGTAAGCATAATTGCATAGTTGAAATGTTCATTGCTTTTAGACTGGCTGACACTGACGCTTCATGTGGGCGATCATACCAAACCGATATCAAGTTAATGAGTGACAGTGTATCCCAAAGATACTTGTATTATGATTTAACGTCTGGAGAGCCATTTATCTAAGTTCTTTCATTCAGCAAGGCACCACGTCAAATGTCTTGCAGAAGAAATTTGTGGGAAAATTTCTCTAAAACATTAATAATCGTGCTTTAACGACTTTTCGAACAAATGGGCACTACTGCATTATTTATCCTTTGCTCTTCTTGTAAACAGTGTTGATCTACCCTCCTGTCGAACAGTGGCACGAAGATGTCCGAAGTGGACATCCTAATATAAAACTGCGACAGGCTTTGCAACAGCAGTCATTTCTTTGTACTTAATAGCGATTGAACGTAATCATTGCTTCCTCAATAATCTCGTAGATCTCTTGAATCATCGTGTATTTTTTGCTCACAAAGTTGTTTATGCAGATCGCTGTCTCGTTTAGTGATGTTGACACCACCGATAAGTGCATTGCGCAGGCGATGGCGCAGAGCAGACGGATCAGCGCAGTCAGCGAGTCTTCAGTGGTTTCCCTTCCTGCCGATGCGATCACCACCTTTACTAGCAGCACCTGCAGCTCGCCATTGGAGGTCGCCGGATTTCCTCCTCCTCGCAACAACTTTTTGCCCGACTCGAAATTCGTTGACTTGTCGGCGACGGTAAGCGGCAGCGATAGCGATCTCGAAGCGGAGACCGAGATTCCGCCCTTGGAAGAACTGCTTGACTGGCATACGTTCCGTCGACTTAAGCCCAAGGAGCGGAAGAGGTTGGAAGTAGTTTACGGTATGCATCACTGCATTTTACTGTGCAGGACAAGGCGCTATCACTCGAAACATATATTTTCATTTGAATTACTTGCAGTGAAAACTAACACTGGAACTCATCAATCACTCTACGTACCAGTTCGACGCTTTTTACCTTCTTTTTATTATGATGTTTTAAAACTAATTTACGAGCGCATTCTCTTATGTACATTGTGGCCTCAGTTTATATCCTTCAGGATTCTACCAACAGCTACTCTACTTCCAGACCTACCTAGTTCCGTTCCGTCTTCTTTTCAAGTAAACGGCGCCTGATGCATGGAATGGTGACACATAAATTACTCTTAACTCAGTGGTTGCGCCCCCTCCCTCGGCGTAAAGCCGCATTCCGCTCGTAATGGCGTTACCACACCTTAG